TGGAGAGAGACATTCCAAGGAACTCAATTTGCAAGCTCAGTAAGCAGCTGGTCCAGTGCCTCCAGGAGCTGATCAAAGAACAGAAAGAGCAGGTTTCTTTTCCCATGGCCTCTTTCCCATGCTACGCCCAGCTGCATCTCTTTGCTAGGTCCCTGCAACTCTCCTGTGCACATCTTGTGCTTGGACAGTTCTGACTCCCTCTTTGTGCACTCCTTCCACAAGTATCTCCATGCTTGCCCCCAAACTGCCCCTTAAACCTAGAACATGGTCTGTAGTCCTGTATCCCAAGCCATCTGCCATCTCCCAAAACCCAGTTTCTCTCCACAGTCCCTCAGGCAACAATCCTCTAATGCAGCGGTTTCCAAATTCTTCAGAGTCGCAACTGACTTTTAGACCACTAGTATCTTCACAAGCGCCTCCCACAGTCCTCAACCCCTGAGAATGACTTTCCCAATCTTGCAAATATGCCAGGTCTTTATAATCCACACTATATCAGCAACATTCACAGAAATGCTCTGTTCATGGCCCCCAAACTCCACAACGCTACAATGATATAAGAAGGCTTCTTTGGTTAAAAAATCATTCCGATTCAGAGGGAAATTAAAATGTAAACAAACAAAATTGAAAAATGAGGAAGCTGACAGCAATGACTACTCATCAACAGTTAGGAAATGCAAACTACTGATAAAGATATCAATGAAAAATCTATGGCCAGTAAGAAGCAGTTCTTTAAATGTGTCAAAAACAAATGAAATCCAAGCAGTGGTATAGTGCCATTATGATAGGATAAGGACATAAAATTATCAACCACGATACACAAAAGGCAGAAGTATTCAACAATTTTTTTGTTCTGTATTTGGAGAGAAGCAAGATGATGTATTTGTATCTTACAGTTCTATTCCATCAGTATTTTATTATCATGATGATGAGAAACGACACAGCTTATAACCTGGATGGACTTTTCAAATCATTGGCAGAAGCCTGGGTCGCTATCTGACTGTGCTTTGCTGCATCACATATAATATGCCCTGTATTGTTCAGCATAGTGCTCCATGCAGCAGAACCAGCTGCACAAGAAAGACTCATCACCTAGCTGAGTGAACACACTCCCTGCTGTTAACAATTAAAGCCTATCACTGACAAGCACCTATTAACCTTATCTGTTAAAGTACCATCTAGGGAGACTGCTGCAAAATCTGGAAGAGACAAGAACTTGGTATCACAACACCCTGAGTGAATTACCTGAATGAATTAACTCTCTAGCTAACTCAAGAAACCAGTCATTGCAACTGTGCAGATGAGCTGGAGAAGCCACCTTCAGGCCAGTTCTAACTGATAAATAGCAAAATGATTAATACACAGTCTTGGAAGGATTCGATTTTTATTAGTAAATGTCCATTTCACCGTATATATGAAACTGACAAAAATATTTCCATCAATAATAACTGAAATTTATTGACAGGCAATGTACGAAAAATTACTTAAGAACTTACTAGGGTTTGATTTAAGGATATTTACTTGGTATATTTTAACATGGGAAGTTCACAATTTGTGTTTTAATAGTTAAACCTTTAATTTTTTGAAACTCAGTGTCTACTGTCATAAAATAATTATTTACTGAGTTCTCCCTGTTGTCTTACTCTCCATAATTTCCCTCACCTGTGAAAATTTAAATTGATAAAAACTGGAAAAAAAAATGCTTAAAATTAGGGTTACCATATGTCTGGGTTTTCCTGGACATGGCCTCTTTTTTGATCTTCCGCCCTCTATCCGAACAGATTTTTCAAATAAGAGACAACGTCTGGGATTTTTACACAGCAGATGTTACAGCTCAGGAAGAGCTCTCTCCATGTCCCAGCTGATCCCTCCCATGCAGCTGCTGGATCCCACCCACCCAGGCTCCGGCTCCCAGCCCTGGGGTGGGGGAGAGGCCCACAGGGAGGCCCTCTCCAGTACCCTCTCCAGCACCTCCTTCTCCAGCACCCCCTCCAAAATGCCCTCTCCAGCACCCCCCAGGTACCCCTGCCAGTACACACACACACCTCCAGCACCCTCCAACTGTAACCCCTCCCCCACAGTTCCCCATCTAGCGGTGTCCTCTTTGTGGGAACCTGAAATATGGTAACCCTACTTAAAATAAACATTATTATCTGTCAAAAATATATATAAAAACTCAAAGTCTGCCAAGCCTAGTTATACATGTGTGGTTTCACCAAGTGACAACATGGTTATGTTAAGCTAAATGCTTCCCAGAAAGCATGTACCTGAGTTAAAACCCTCTGAATGACTAAAATGTATGACATGTACTTGTATTTACTTCATAGGTTTCTAGAAATCATGCCTAATCACTAACTCAGTTGAGAATGTGGAGGCTGGAGAAACTCATTATACTAAGAGTAGTACAATTTGTAAGACAAAAAGATGTTTCCCTACTGGGAGAAACCCTGAGTGTTTCAAAGAGTTCAGCCTAAATCACACAGACTTTGTTGACAAGAGAATTGACAGTTCATAGACAACAAGAGGAAGAAGCCTTGATTTGGCTTGTAAACGAAAGATTTTAGCACTGGTTGTACCTTTGGTTAAAGTGGCAGAAGAGCCCACAGTACTGCTTAAATACCAGAGAAATTTGAAGGGCTTCAAAATTATCACCTGCATATTGTTGTATGGGTTTAATGACAAATTCAGACAGAAAATAAAGTGCAATTTTTTAACAGTGAGGGCTGTCAATCACCAGGAGGGGCTGACTGGTGGGATACTTGCAGAGGACCAGGTGTAATTCACAGTAGAATGGACACACTGTGGGGGAATTTCCTGGTGTTTCACTAATTGTCCTAGGTGTGTTTATACACCCTCTCCCTTCTGTCAACCCCTCAGCTCACTCGACTCCCAGTGTGGACAGTGGCTACCTCCTGGCCTCCCTGTGCCACGGTCCCAGTTGGCAATGGGCATGCCCAGCAGCCCCAAGCAGATGAAGGTGTGTACTTCTGCAGTGGTACAAGCAGCAGTGCTCTGAAATGGCTTACAAGTGAGCTCCACTCAGCATGCATGGCTATGTAAACTGCTAGGTGACTGCTGGGCAGAAAGGTGACCAGACTGGCCACTTTTGCAATGACTGGTGCACTCTGGGACAGCAGTGGGAGGACTGATGGAGGTGACTGGGCTACCACAGCAGAGAGATGCATCATATGGGCACTCAGACAACTGAATTAACTCCCATCGAGCCTTAGTGACTCAACAATGGCAACCAAAATGGCCTATAACAAATCTGTACATGGGCACAAAAGCACTCCTCACTGACGGAAGGGCAGATCAATAGACTGTTCTCTCAAGATCGTCCCATTACTCCTAGTTACACCCCTACAATGTATGACTTCAAATAATTCCTCTCCCTCCCTTGGGCTTTATACCCTTCCAATATTTGTAGATTATGAGCATGCTCCCTTCTCTCTCCCTTAGTCAATGCTTAGCTCACTTGGTTCTTTTAATCTTTCCTCTTAAGTAAATCCCATCCAGCCCCAAGCAGTTGTGTTGTTCTTCTCTGAATTCCTTCCACTTTTAAATATCTTTCTGGCATTGAGGTGCCCAGAACTGAACACTAAAGCCCAGATATGGCCACAAAATTTCATCTAGGGGGATTAATAACACCCTGTTCTGTAATGCAAAGTTGCAAACTATTCTCTGTGGTTCAGTAATGAAGACGTTAATTAACACTGATCTTACCAGCAATCCCTGAACTTTCTACCAGAAACCTCCATCCAACTGCATGCTTTGCCAGATACTAATGCCCTTCCATTACTCTGTTTCAGCTAAAGAGAGAAGTTCCACTTCTAGGGTGGTAATTGCCAGAATCATTCTTCATTGAAAATAAGGTGCTAAATTTCCATTTCTTCAGTATTTCATTACCTCCTGAATTGTCCCTGAGTTTTCAAAAAAAAAATGGTAGTGGTTTAGTAAGCTTGTTAGACAGGTCACCCAGAACATCTGATTTGTATAGTGGGTATTCACATTTCCCACGTACTTCCTTACCAGCTGTTTATCAGCAATAGTTATTTTGCAGAGTCAGCATTCCTTACTAATTGCTCAAACTTCTTTTCTATATTTTTTATTGAAGACAGATTTAGAAAAAGAGTTTTGGATCTCAGCCAGTTTTCTGCTACCATGTAACAAGCAGATTAACTAATCAGTTTCCAAATCCCAGAGCAGCAGAAACGGCGCAAGTATGTCCCTTGGCCCGTGCCGCTTCCTGCAGCTCCCATTGGCCTAGAGCAGCGAACCGCAGCCAGTGGGAGTCGTGATCGGCCGAACCTGCAGACGCGGCAGGTAAACAAACTGGCCCGGCCCGCCAGGGCCTTTCCCTGCACAAGCGGCGGAACAAGTTTGGGAACCACTGATGTAGATGATATTTCAGGGCACAGATATCTCTTATGAAATTGTATCACTTTGATTTGTATTGTTTTTCGGGGTGTGACCTTCAGTGCTGGTGAAAGACGCTGGCCTGGTAGCCCAGAACACTGAAGATTTCCATTCATTCACAGAACAGGTTCTATACAGGTGGAACAGGCTTCGCTACCAACTTTCCTCACCTCTGCTGCTAGGGCTCCGAGCAGTCCCACGTCTAGTGCTCACTGAGACTTGGGGCCTCTGCTGGCGGTACGCATAGGGTTGCAAATAGTGTCAATTCCATTTTTGTGATGTGGCCACTTTGCTAAGAACTGGCTTGACACCAGCTACACGTTTGACCCAGGCCGTTTTGTTAAAGTTGTTTTTGATTCAGTGCTCCTTAAAAACAGAGCAGGGAGCCCCCAGACACGTGCCCTCTGGTTTGACTGGCTGCCCCAGGACCACCCCACCCGCCAGGGGCTTTCTTTGCCATCCCAGGCTGCTCTGCCCTGCCCCAGCAGCTGGCCCACACACTGCTGGCCCTCAGCACAGCGGCAGTGATCACTGTCCAGGCCTCAACCCCTACCTGCAGCGCTGCCAGCTGTCCCGGCTGTACTTACCGTCCGCGAGCTCTCCCTGGCCAGCCTCCTGGGCACGCGCGGGGACCCCGGACTCTGTGGAGAGAGGAGAGAGGCATCTTCAGCATGTGCTCCATGGCGGGATGGTGTGTGAGTGTGATTGGCCCGAGCTGCGCAGTGAATCACTGAAAGGCATCGGTGTCCGGCCGAGAAAGGCGAGGGCAGTGGGCAGGGGAGTGATGCGGGGACGAGGGGGCGGCCGGGAAGGAGCTGAGGAGCAACCTTGGGCACCAAGGAGCCCCTGAGCCCCTGCCCTCCTCCACTGAGCCCTGGTGCTCCTTCCCCCCTGGGCCCCTCCACTAAGCCCTTCCACCGCTCCACTGCACCCCCACCCCCCACCACTGAGTCCTGGGCCCCTTCCTGGCTGTGCCCCTCCACTATGCCACCACTGCCACTGTACCCCCTACATCCAGCCACAGAGCACTGTGCTCATCCACTGAAGTACTTAACCTGTGCAGCCCCCCAGATCCGCTGAACCCTTTGCACCCCATGGTACCTACCGCCCACTGCCCACAAGGCCAAGCTCTGAATTCCTGCAGTACTGAACTGATCCTGAGGGGATGTGTCACTTTGGAGAATTCAACTAATTCTCTATTCTAGTAACGCCCACAGGCTCTGATCCAGAGCAGGGCCTTGTGCTGTGTGCTGTACCAACACGGGCCCTGCCCCCAAACAGCTGAGAGCTTAAAATCTGCAATCAGAACATCCTCCCTGTTTTTTAGATGTTCTGATGCCATTTGTAAAGGACCAAGAGGCCCCAGGCCTGGTTTATGGGGCTGCCCAGAGAATTCTCCTGAAATCAGGGGCTGTCCCTCTTTCACTAAGCTTGGGTGACATTCCCCCGGCTCTCTGCCACCTGCAGCACACTAGCACTCCCCCACCTCCTGCCTGCAGCTGCTCTGGCATTGCTGGCTGCCTGGATGTTGTTCTGAGTCAGCTGCAAACTGATGTCTGCCTTGAGCAGCAGCCAGCTGATACAGACACCAGCTACAAAGCTGTGAACTCAGAGGCAGCAGAAACTGTTCCAGGTGAGTCCCAGCCATGCACCCATCCTCTCCAGCAGATCTTTGCATGAGGCACTGCCAAGATACTCGTCCAATCAGTGAGCGACCCTGCTCTTCTGCACTCAGCTCTGCTTTAGCCCTTGGCCTCTTCCACCCTCACTGCCGACTGAGGGCTCTCAGCTCCCCAGACTAGCTCCTAGGGAGGGGGATTTCACCTTGCACAGGCAGACAGAGGCGGATTGCGGTTTTGTGCAGTCCTGGGCCAGAGCAAATGGGGGCCCCTCCCCACCCCGGTCTCTCCTCCCCCACCCCTGCCCCGGTGCTCCTGCTGGGGAAATGGGGTCGGGGTGTGGGGGCTTCCCCTGCCCACCCAGAGCTCCTGCCAGGGAGCAGGGTCAGGTTGACTCTGCACCCTGGGCGGAGTGCCGTGTGGGCGGATGGAGCAGGTGAAGCCCCCGCACCCTGACTCTGCTCCCCAGCAGGAGCGCCGGGCTGGTGGAGCAGGTCGGGGTGCAGGGGTGCCCATTTTTCTGGGGGGCCCCCAATTGGCCAGGGGCCCTGGGCATGGGCCCTGTTGGCCCAGTGACTAATCTCCCACCGCAGGCAGAGTCTATGCTGGGACTCTGTTCCACTTGCCCTGGTGCTGCTGTGGTTAATTAAGTGATACAGAATACACCAGCCTCACCAGTCTTTGCCTGGAATCAGGCTGTTGAATCTGGAACTTGACCACAAATGAAACTGTTTTAAGTCTTAAAAGAACTAGCCGAGGAGGGGCTGTCTGAACCACTAATGTTCACTTTTAATAAATACTGGAAAACTGGGGCAATTCCAAAGGACTGGAGGCCTGCCAATATAGTGCCAATATTTAAGAAGGGTAAAAGGGGTGACCCAGGGAACTCTAAATCTGTTAGCCTGACGTCGATCCCGAGTAAAATAATGGAATGGTTAATTTGGGACTCAAAGAATACAAGGCTACAATAGAATTAATCCCGGTTGGTGTGGTTTCATGGAAGGTAGGTTTTGTCAAACTAATTTGTCGTCTTTTTTTTAGCAGGATAACAAGTCTGGTTGATAAAGGTAACTGTGGTGATATAAAAAAAGGAGGACTTGTGGCACCTTAGAGACTAACAGATTTATCTGAGCATAAGCTTTCGTGAGCTACAGCTCATTTCATCGGATGCATTCAGTGGAAAATATTTTCCACTGAATGCATCCAATGAAGTGAGCAAATAAATTTGTTAGTCTCTAAGGTGCCACAAGTCCTCTTTTTCTTTTTCTGGATACAGACTAACACGGCTGCTACTCTGAAACCTGTGTTGATATCATATACTTGGCTTTTGCCAAGGCATTTGTCTTAGTACCACATGACTTTTTGATTAAAAACTTGCATTGTATTGAACTAACGGGGCACAGATTTGATGGAATAAAACCTGGCTCACTGACAGAGCTCAGAATGTAGTTGATAATGGGGAGATATTAACAAGCAAAGTGTGGTTCCCCGGGGATCAGATCTTGGTCCAACACAATTTACTATTTGTACCAACCATCTAAACGATGATATAAAATGTTTGCTTGTAAAGTTTGCAGATGACACAAAGATTGGTGGGATAGTAAACAATGAGGAGGGCAGGATACTGCTACAGAGTGATCTGAATCATCTGGTTAAATGGTCACAAGCCAACAAAATATATTTTAATACAGCCAAATGCAGGCAATGTATCTGGGAACCAAGAACGCAGGTTATATCTACAGGATGGGAGACTGTCTTGGAAAGCAGTGACGCAGAGAGAATCTCAGAGGTCACTGAAAACAATCACCTCAACATGAGCTCTCAGTGCAATGCTGTTGCAAAAAGGGCTAATGTATGAAAAGGGGAATATCAAAGGAAAATAATCTTCCTTGGGGACAGACCATTGATAGGACCACTACTAGGATACTGTGTCCAGTGCTGGTGTCCACACTGCAGGAAGGATTGGAAGTTCTGGAGGAAGGTCAAAGGAGGGCTACCAAATGATCCAGGAGCTGGGAAACAAGATTTTCGATGTGAGACTCAAGGAGCTCCATTTATTCAGCTTATTGAAGAGAAGGTTGAGAGATGATGTGATCACTGTGTCTAGGCACTGACACATCATGGAACAGAGATCTGAGAGCGGGATGTTTTCAGCCTTGCTGACAAAGGCCTAACCAGATTCAATGGCTGGAAATGGAAGTTTGACAAATTCAGCCTTGAAATAAGATGCAATTTCCTAACAGTGATTAAACATTGGAACAGCTTAGCAGGGTAGGTGGTGGGTTCACCCCCACTTGTAGTTTTTAAAATTAGATTAAGGGAGAAATTTTACAACTTGGGTGGATGGGATTGGGCTGGATGGTCATGGTGGTCTCTGGTTCATGGTGGTCTGTGAATTCATGAATCCTCGTGTTCATCCTCTTCCTTCACGGGCCAGGGAGAGAACAGGGAGCTCTGCATTGCCCTTGACAAGCTCAGGACCATTGCAACTCTGCACTATTACAACTATACTCAAATCTCATGCTTCAAGGCTTCTGGAAGGCACCTGCAGGGGTCAGGAAGGAATCATTTCCTCAACGCACAATTGGCCAGATGTATTCTGTTTTTTTGTTTGTTTTCTTCTGCCTTCCTCTGAGGCATCAGCAATTGGCCACAGCTAGAGACAGGACAGCAGGTGGGGTGGATCAGTGCTCTCAAGTGAGAATCTTTCATCGAGATGCCTGGCTAGTGGCTCTTCTCGCATGCTCAGGGTCACAGGGATCACCAGATTTGAGTCAAGAAGGAATTTTCCCTTGGTCACGTTGGCAGATCATTGGATTTTTTTTTTTCTTTCTCTGAAGCATCGGGTGTAATTTGCCTGCTGGGACCCTAGAAGTATATCTCACCTAATGAATTCCCTGCCATTTCGGTGGCCTCAGGTGGTGGGGGCACCGCAGTCTCTCCTGCTCTCTGCCTGTGACTCACAACACTTTAGTTTCCTGAGGACTGAAATGCTTTAGTTATTGGGCTCCATAGAGCAGTATTTGCAAGAAATGTTATGGCCTGTGCTATGCAGGAGGTCAGACTGTATGATCTAGTGCAGTGACTCTCCATCTTTACGGGCTACGGCACCCCTTTCAGGAGTCTGATTTGTCTTGAGTACCCCAGGTTCCACCTCACTTAAAAACTACTTGCTTACAAAATCAGACATAAAAATACAAAAGTGTCACAGCCACACTAGTCCTGAAAAATTGCTTCCTTTCTCAATTTTACCATATAATTATAAAATAAATCCATTGGGATATAAATATTGTACTTACATTTCAATGTATAGTATATAGAGCAGCATAAACAAGTGATTGTCTTATGAAATTTTAGTTTGTACTGACTTCGCTAGTGCTTTTTACGTAGCCTGTTGTAAAACTAGGCAAATATCTAGAGGAACTGATGTACCCCCTGAAAGACCTCTATGTACCCCGGATTGAAAACCACTGATCTAGTGGTCCCTTCTGGATTTAAACACTATGAAACTATGAAAAGTAAAAAAAAATACAAGACCAGGGGTTAAATAGAGCTAAAGTTTCAGACTGTGCTAAGTGCTGGCCTAGAATATCTCAGCTTTGCAACAGCTGCTGCCCTTTTTCGGCAGTAGTGACTAGCAGAAAGAGAGGGAGTTTTGTGCTGTCCTAGAAGAAATTGTAACCAGCGCTCATCCAAGAAGTCCAGTGAACAGTGCTTTGTGATCAGTTTGTAACTAGGTCAGGTGAGAGGATTGTGTGGTTGCACTAGGGCTGTCAAGATATTAAAAAAATTAATTGCGATTAATCATGCGGTACACAATAATAGAATACCATTTATTTAAATAATTTGGATGTTTTCTACATTTTCAAATATATTGATTTCAATTACAACACAGAATACAAGGTGTACAATGCTCACTTAATATTTATTTTTGATTAAAAATATTTGCACTGTAAAAAAAAAAGTCTTTTTCAATTCACCTCCTACAAGTACTGTAGTGCAATCGCTTTATCATGAAAGTTGAACTTACAAATGTAGAATTATGTACAAAAAAACCCTGCCTTCAAAAATAAAACAATGTAAAACTTTAGAGCCTACAAGTCCAATCAGTCCTACTTCTTGTTCAGCCAATCGCTCAGACAAACAAGTTTGTTTACATTTGCAGAAGATAATGCTCCTTGTTTCTTGTTTACAATGTCACCTGAAAGTGAGAACAGGTGTTTGCATGGCACTGTTGTAGCCAGCGTCACAAGGTATTTACATGCCAGATGCACTAAAGATTCATTTGTCCCTTCAAGCTTCAACCACCATTCCAGGGGACATGTGTCCATGCTGATGACGGGTTCTGCTCAATAACAATCCAAAGCAGTGCGGACCGACAAATGTTCATTTTCATCATCTGAGTCAGATGACACCAAAAGGTTGATTTTCTTTTTTGGTGGTTCAAGTTCTGTAGTTTCCACACCAGAATGTTGCTCTTTTAAGAATTCTGAAAGCATGCTCCACATCTCATCCCTCTCAGATTTTGGAAGGTATTTCAGATTTTTAAATCTTGGGTCGAGTGCTGTAGCTATCTTTAGAAATTTCACATTGGTATCTTCTTTGCATTTTGTCAAATCTGCAGTGAAAGTGTTCTTAAAATGAAAAATATGGGGTGGGTCATCTTCTGAGATTGCTATAACATGAAATATATGGCAGAATGCGGGTAAAACAGAGTAGGAGACATAAAATTCTCCCCCAAGGAGTTCAGTCACAAATTTAAATAACACTTTATTTTTTTAACAAGCGTCATCAGCATGGAAGCATGTCCTCTGGAACGATGGACGAACCATGAAAAGGCATATGAATCTTTAGTGCATCTGGCATGTAAATATCTTGTGATGCCAGCTACAACAGTGCATGCAAACTCCTGTTCTCCCTTTCAGATGACATTGTAATTAAGAAGTGGGCAGCATTATCTCCCGTAAATGTAAACAAACTTGTTTCTCTTAGCGATTGGCTGAACAAGAAGTAGGACTGAATGGACTTTTAGGCTCTAAAGTTTTACATTGTTTGGTTTTTGAGTGCAGTTATGTAACAAAAAATCTACATTTGTAAGTTGCACTTTCATGATAAAGAGATTGCACTACAGTACTTGTATGAGCTGAACTGAAAAATACTATTATTTTATCATTTTTACAGTGCAAATAATTCTAATAAAAATAATATAAAGTGAGCACTGTACACTTTGTATTCTGTGTTGTAATTATAATCGATATATTTGAAAATGTAGAGAAACATCCAAAAATATTTAATACATTTCAACTGGTATTCTATTATTTAACACTGCGATTAATCACGATTAATTTTTTAATCACGGTTAATTTTTTTTTAGTTAATCGTGTGAGTTAACTGTGATTAATCGACAGCCCTAGTTTGCAATAGTCACTCTGTTTAACCATGTCTGTCAAAGTGCATTCTGGGAACACTGGGCAGTATCCTTCCCCTATGCTCCACGAACATACACGGCATCAAAAGTACGTGGGGCAAAGAACTCGGAGTTGCCTATGGCACAGAGTTTGGAGGCAGGAGGACCAGCCAAACTACAGAAAGCCAGTGTGCTGAACCAGCTTAAGGACACATTGCTGTGTCCGCCCAGGCCTTGGGGCCACATTGACACATGGTCAGCTGCTTCACAAAGTACTCAGCATGGCTGGTTTCAGAAGCACCCACAGCTCCTGTTGAAAACTAGTTCCCAAATTGTATGGACACAAGACACAGATAGAGCCAACAATGACAGCAGGCTGTTGGCTGGGTTCAATGTGGTAGCCTGTCTGTGAGTGATAATGGAAGTGGGAAGAGTCAAGCATGACACTGATGGGACATGAAGACTTTAAGGGGAACTGAGGAGTGGTGTTTTTGCCAGACTGAGTGGACTACAGGGCATCCAGGAGAAGGTGTCTGCCATACAAGAGGGAGAGGTCAGGAATGGAGAGGTAGATTTGTGAGGTGTTTTATGTGCAAGTATTCACAGATGGTTTAAGATGGTATATTGGAAAGTAAGATAGGTGAGATGTGAATTGCTGTGGGCTTATGAAAAGTCAATCATTTCAGACATTTTATTACTGTCTTAGAATGAAATAATTATTACTCTAAGAGCAGAACCATATGATTTTGTACAAATGGATTTTCAGATGTTTTTGACAAAGTTTTATATAATGGATTATTGTAAAACTGCTCTAAACAGAAGATTTAGAACAGGTCAGTAGGTAGATAGCAGAAGGTTGGAGTTAAAGGTGTGTCTTCTTTGTGGAGGTTGGGGAAAGTGGAGTCTTCCATGGTTCTGTACTGGGACCAGCATTCTAAAACTAGTTTAAATAATGGTTTAGATGAAGCTCTAGTTATAGAACTCACAATGATACAGACCCCAGTGCTACAAGTATTAATTCACATACTTAATTTTATGCAGATGAGTAGTGCCATTAGCTTCAGTCAGACTACTCAAGGAGTAAAGCTAAACATATGTATACTTGCAGGATTGGGGCCTGCACTTGAAGATGGTACTAAAACTTTTGGGAGGTTAATGCGTTATCAGTAACTCACTGAGGTTTAAAAAGGGGGGTGTAACTGTAACCATAGAAATGATGCCCTCACTCGACACATGGCTGCTGGGTGGTAAAGCCATTTGAATGCATTTTCAAGCTTCGCTTTTGTACCACAGTCCCGAAAGGAGAGACTTAGTGGATCGCTGGCAGTGCATCGCTATCATATGATTCAATATCAAAAGGCCTCCTTGTGTCTATCACTCTTTTCACAACAAAGCACCATGAGGAAACCACATGATACAGTGGGGTTCCACTGTTTGCTGCCTATACACAAAAACGCCTGGCTCAGCCACATACACACTGATGCTCTGACTGGGTTCTGGCGGCTTCTAAAGCATGCTCACTGTGAGTGTCACTGGCGGGCTCACAAACTACCCTAACACTATACACTCCCGCTCAGAAAGTTCCCCAAAACTTACCTGGGGGTCCCCGCTGGGTTTTCGAAGACTCATATGACTAGGCTCCATTTGATGCATAGGGGTCACAGGGGTGTGATATCCATTCGCTGTAAGGAACACATAGAGGAGGTTAAACGGGCTGCTCTAGGCAGCAAATACTTAAATACAGACTTTCAATGGTTCTTGGTCACTTTATTTATCATAAAAGTAAACTCACAGAACCCTGCAACAAGATACTTGCCTTCCCTACGTGCCGTCTTACCACAGAAGTGCCTGAACTGAACAGACCTCTAAACAGGCCTGGGCCTGACTTGATAGAATTGGATGGGGCAGTGCCAACCCAGAAACCAAAAATGTATCTAGCCTCTGGGCGCAGGCCTCCTCTCACTGCTCCAGGGAAGACTGAAGTCAGCAGAGTTAGACGGCTGTAGAAAGGGTCTAAGGGAGACGCCCTAGAACTTGAATCAATTCCAACAGCCCATTTAGTCCCCCCATGTGGCAGATACTAGCCCCCCTTCTGTTCCGCAAACCAGCACCCCAAAAACCAGAGGCAAAGAACAACAATCCAATGCTGATTATATTTTAAAACTGCATGATTTGAAAGCCCGTCCCCTGATTTTCTCAGGCCTGACTTGTGGCTGCTTGGGGCTGGATACTGCATCTACTCCTTGAAAAGCCAACACTAAGCGTAAAACAGAAACCAGTCCTGACAACAAATAATGAGTGCAAAAGACTTCTGCACCCTCAGTTTTCAGGGGCTCATACATCCTGGTTCCTCCTTTCAGAGCATTTGACTTGGGTCCACGCTCAAATCCGAATGTCTCCTTAAGGGACAGATGTCTGCAGCTGCCTGTTGCATAGAGGCTGAGAAATGGGGACATTGATCCTGTCTCGAGTGAGGGAGGAATCCATGTACATAGCCCCAGCATCTGCTCCTGGCTCCACCACACTCCAGGATGATTGCTCCAGAAGGTGTTTGTGGAAACAGCCATTTCTACCACTAATGGCTGTTCCCCTGGGCCGCGACCCGTTGGAGGGCTCCTGGGGGACTGAATTCCAGTCAGGCAGCTGCAGGGCTACTTGAGCTCTGCCGTTACCCTGTCAGGCTGATGATATGAGCTGCCACGGAACTCAGAGTGGCACCTAAACTGGGGTTGCCTAATGCCCTAGGAGAGAGGGAGGGGTGTTGGGAGAGAGAAACCTGCAGTTCTCTGTTGCTGTGCTATTAGAAATGAGTCACTGTTTGTATTATGGGAGCACATGGAGTGAGGTCAGGACTCCCTTGTGCTGGGCATAGGACACACGGGGAAGCAGACTGTCCCTGCCCCAAAGTGATTGCAATCTGTATAGATCAGACAGACAAACGGAAAGAGACAACATCCTAGCCAGAAAACATACACACCACACCTCCAGAATCTCCGCCTTGATTAGCTGTGTTTCCCCACCTTTGTGTGCACTCTCCACCCCTCGCCCCCGCCATGCAGCACAGCCCATGTGCCAGGCTCTTGCCCAGGACTCCAAGCTCAGTCCAAGAGAGCAAAAGCCAAACAGGTTAGATGTCTACAGGCCCATGCCCCAGCTGCTTCACCCTCTCCCCAGAGGGAGGGCGCTTCTGGGGACCCACATGGCTAGGCCCTGCCCCTGACCTTGTGGGGCAGTCTCCAAATTCTGGAGATTGCCTTCCCTACTTGAGCTGTGGGGCAGCCCCAAATCTCAATTTTTCACCAATCTGGGATAAAAAACAGCTTGTGACCCGGGAGCAGATTGCACTGTGCTGAGAGACATGCGCACATGAGTTTAAGTCTCACCTCTGTCACTCACTGCTGTTACTATTTCTGCACACCCCTCCACACTTGGTAAGGTTTCATGTCCCCCCATCTGGGGCAAGTATTATACTCATTTTCCAGATAAGGTCACTTCTGGCAAAGTCGGGGGCAGAACCCAAATATGGTAGAGCCAAGTCACAGCACTCAGCCATGCTTCCTTTCAGAAAGTGCCCCAAGTCTGTGCTGTCAGGGACAACTATGCTAAACAGCAGCCACATGCTGCTCCCAGAGCTAGGCACAGAGCCCAGGAATCCTGATAGTCAGCATTCTGCTGCTATCTAGCAAATAGCTGGGTAATGTTTGTCACACACGCCTCTAAAAGCTGGTCCATGCAAAGAACAGCCTGGACACGTTATGAGTTTCTCCTTCAGCTCAAGCGGGCAAGGTCTATGGAATGGCTATGAAGGCCCTCTTGGGTTCAGACCACGATGAAGTCCCTTATCAGAAATATCTGTATGTAATTAAAGGGTATCACAGTGGAGACAGAATTTAGGTAACATTATATTGGCATTTCCTAACTTGTGAGTACTTGACTTTACAACCTTACCATTCATTGTACATAAAGGGAGTTCTATGGATTCTATCTTCCTAGGGATCAACGTTTTCTTAAGAAAGCACTGACTGGGGACTGGCTGCCAAAGGGTGCTGCTAATGCACTATATACCTTTCACTGGTAGGGCACCAGCCTGCATCCAACCCAGTTCAGCAGGGATTTAACACTGTCCCAATCTACTGGGTTTTTGGAGATTTGTGGGGTGGGGGGGTCTCAGCTCCAGTTCTCACGTCACAAACTCCCCAGTGCTCTTTGCATTAATGGGCCAACTCAGCAGAGAGGCCAAGAACTGCCTGGACCTTTGGAACTGAGCTGCCCTGGGGCCCCAGATGAAGCCCCTCAGAGCTGGGCTGAGACATGCTGGCAGTGGGCAGGGGAAGCTCCTGCTGCTTTGGAGCTAAAGAGAGGGCTCCATACACCAGGGCTGCCGCCTGATGCCTTCACCAGCACTAAATTTACATACCACATTTCTAAAACTGCAATGGATTATTATATGCATATTATTTGCAAATATGCAAATCAGCTGATTAAATAATTTGTATACAATTTTTGCACAATACCTAAGAGTTCCTAATGTTTTTTTAACTAAAAGCTGGCAACCTGACCTGAAGTCCCACTGCCAGCAGCTTCCTACTCCCCAGTGGGAGTGGGATCCTCATGGCCCATCCCTGCTGTGGTGACAGATCCCAATATTTTGATGCAAAAACGATTATTAATAAAATTATTCTAATTCTTAGTTATTACAAACTTGCCTGTGCCTTTACTGTTTTTAGGAGATACAATTATTTTCGTATACATGACACTTGGAGCATATGGATACCTCACATGCTCATGCGTTTGGTTGCTTATTTAATAAAAGTGAAATGAAATGTTTGAGCTAATTGCAACAACCCCTAGGAAATTTCCACTTTCACCTTCTTAGCCATAAAACCACATTTACTACCTCTAGCTGTGTTTACACAAACTCTAGAAAGCAATTTTATAACTTCTGTTTTGGTTTAACATTCTATATAATTTTCTTTAGACTATAATTTGAAAGAGGTACTTATGTGATAGTTATTGGATTTGTGCCTTTCATAGGAATCTTTAATTGCAAATTGTAAATGTCCTATAAATAGAGCCCTGCAAATCCACGGGTATTCACTTTATATCTGTGGAAATCCACAGACCATTTCTGCAGATAGTAACGCGTATGTGGATACAAATTTTGTATCCACGCAGGGCTCTGACAGTAAGAGCCAGACGGGCAGCTGTGAGGAACCGCAGCACAGATCCTCCACCTGCCCTGGGCGGTGGAGCAGGGGACAGGGACATGGGCTGGGGCTGCTCGGCCTCCGAGCTACCCCCCTCCTCACCCCCACCCAGAGCTGGGTCCAGGAGAGCCGCTGTGGCAGCCTGGGTCTCTCCACATGCCCTGGCTGGGAGGGCTAGGGGACAGGGATGCTGGGCAGGGGGGCAGGGATATTTGGCAGGGGGCTGGGGGGCAGGGACACTGGACATGGGGGGCTGGGACATTTGGCGAGGGGCTGCTTGGGCCCCCCACCCAGGACAGGAGGAGGGTCCCCCGCAGCTCTCCACAGCTGCCACCGCGGCTCTCCCTGACTGGGCTCCAGCGGGGGAGCCGGGGAATGCCTTGGAGCCTCAGCCTGGCGCTCAGTGTAGAACCCAGCAAATCTGCAGATGCCAATATCCGCAGATAATTTTTGCGGTTGGCGGATCGAATGCGGATATAGGGCTCTACCTATAAATGGTAGGCTGCAAATCTAGGAACAATTGGTCAAAAGACAGACAACTAACAAAGAGAGTCTTCTCTGAGAATAAGACACCTCTCCTTGTGAAAAACACAAGGCTGGCATACACGTGTACTTTATCTCAAAAAAACCAAGTTTGTAAGATATATATATATAGATATAGATATATATTATAAAGAGATCTGGTTTATTCAGGATATTACAAAGACGAGTGATGCTTAAGATGTGCTAGCAGAGTCATAAACCAAGTCATAAAAGCACCCTATTCACCCTTCCTCTTTGCAAAGAGAAAAACCTTTAGTTTTAAACCCTCACAAAGAATTCTAGAAATATCCTCACTGAAACTGATTTCTTTTATACATTTTCTAAAGCCTTCATTCTTCAAACTTTAAGAACATTTATGGTTGAGAAATGTTTTACAGAAGACTGATTACTTCTAACTCATGTTTTCTCTTGAAGGTGAACCTTTGAATTGTCTTTCAAACGCTTAAGATGATATAAGCTTTGTTTGAGATGTTCATTTACAAATATTTTATATCTAAATTCAATCACTCCATACAATAACTGCCCGATATCACTGTTATATGAATAGTGAGATGTTTTCTGTACAAATAGGGAATCAAATGACCTTGCTAGAACTGAGAACTAATATAAGAAGCTGCTTGAGTATAAAATTATTTATATTCATTGGGAAATTAATTAGTTATCTGGCAGGACTTAAGCACTCCTTATCAAATTCAGGAAGACAAGAACTTCTCCAAGGACGGTTAAGAAGACAGCATTTTATTTGATCACCATTTACGTTTAAAGACTCTTCTTAAGAACAATTTGTTTTAAAAAAAATATGTTAAGGGCTGAAATATAGGAAATAGCAATGTTTGTATTCATTTGAAACAGAATTTAAACTCCTATTAAAACCTGATGGAACTAATGAGATATCTCAGAAAATGGACTGAATAAAAGCTAAAACTCTAACT